TGACTTTGTCAAAACAACCGTGAAGTCACTCGAGTCATTGGGCTTCGTTATTGTCGCGTATATCCCTGGCCAAAAGCCCGACGACATCCGATTCCAAGTGAAGAAATGGGGCATGTCGACAAACTATGTCGTCTATCTGTTTCTTAATTTGGCCGAGCTCTACGGGCAGGTATCGCGACAGCTCTCCATCTACGTTTACAACTACGCCATAATCTCGTACAAAATGCTTGTTGGCGAAGTGGCCTCGATGGGACGGTTGCTCTCGGACGTCGTTCAGCACTTCAGTTCTATGTAAGGGAAACAACTCTTGTATTCACACTGGACTGAATACTCAGACTTGACCTCATCCTTTGGGCTTACGTATTCTTTTCGATTGGCAAACCAGTTGGAACAGACAGCCATTGTTCTGAAGCAGGAAAGACGGACAGGGGAGAGGGAATGAATGTAAATTAGCTCTGTTGTTGCTACAGAATGAAATAAAGACCGGTAATCCCTCCCCAAAATATGTACTATCAACAAACAAGCACCGTATATGTCCCTAGCGATCATCCCTGACTTCTCTCCCAGAGACCTCCAGACTCTTAGGCGCTACCAACGTTGACATAGCACAAGACCCATCCAAACTGAACAGGGTTGAAAAGACTGATATGAGCAGGCGTCTTCTTCGTAAAAGCAGCGCTCCCAGGCTGGGTTCCCAGGCTGTCCTTGTACATCTGACAGGTCACCTTGTCAGGATCGATCTTCTCGCCGTCGGGGAGAAGGAACTGAACGCCGCGGAGCTCAAGGTCGGTGATTTGATAGTCGATGTGTGTGAGCTTGCCGAAAGGAACGTCGACGAATTTGTGAGTGTTCTGGTCTCGGTTGAAGGCATAGACACTGGCTGTTGCAAAGGTTTTAGTCTTGGGGGTAGCTGTTGCGGTAGATGCGAGGGTTGCGACCGCGGCGGTGAGAATGGTGATGAAGTGCATGTTGGCGAAGAATTTGGTAGAAGATTGAGAATATTTGTTAAAGTAGTGTATGAGAGATTGTTGGTTGAGTGAGATTGCGATCGAATAGTGAGGATGGCGAGTCTCTTTATACACTTGGGCAGCTCTGAGCGTCATCAGCCATCGTATCCTCACCACTATTTTTAGGGAAGTAAGATTCCTACGGTTTAATACGGACCAACCTCCTCGTGTTGACTACACATCCTGTGGACCATCTAACACGGTGTAGGCAGTATTCAAAGCCTCAACGAAGAATAGTCAGCACTTGCTTATAACCCAGTACCTCGAATCACTTTCCCGTATTCGATGTTATGTCTTCCTGGTCACAATCCACAATTTGAGGCTGAGTGACTTCATGCATGTCGATCATCTTCCCTAATGGTGTAATCAAAATGGCTTTGCGCCAATGGCTATGAGGCAGTCAGCAATGGTACCTCGTGTCCTGGTCGATCATATGTCAGATTTGAGCCACTCGTCAGCCCAACTCATCCGAGCCATGCAGCTCACTGCTTGCTAGAGAAATTGCCGAGAGTCCTTGGCGGCAATGAGATGGTGATGCGCTTTCTGTATACGAACTTGATAGCATACAGGTAGCATCGCAGACATTATCACATAGCAGTCAGCGTTACACCTATGGGATGATCTGATACAGCTGTGGCATGCCCAGACACTTGTAGCCACTCATGTAATTCTTCTGATTCAATAAAAAGTTAAGAAATCACTTTCTAACATACTCTAATATTTATTCAGTGGAATGTACGATTCAATGACCTTCATTGTGCTATCCGTGAGGCTTTACCAAGTCTCTTAAGGAGGACTATGGCCAAGAATGGTTGGCGCCAAAGACGTCAAGTTCAGTAACGATACAACAGTTTAATAGCGTAGCCATTGACCTAAGCAATGTCCCATGCCGTCCTTCCTCATTATTTCAAGGCTTTCTTCAAATAAACCTCGTGCGATTCGCCAAGTTGTATTGGTGCGTGTTCTTCCGCAACGTGAAAAGATATCAGTTGCAGTATCCAACATTGGGATCAGAGCTAGAGGATAGTGCGTGCAGTTAGGCAAGGTGGACAAATCCCATCTCACAAGTTCAAAGCTCACCTGAATTCCCATCCAGAAACACTACTGACCCCTCCCTTGTCACAGCCACGAACCTCATTGCTTAGCCCGCCAATACAGTGTTCATCCTGAAGATCGAATGAATCACGGGTGTTCTGGTTGGTGATAGCGAATTTCCACTTGAGGTTGTCAGCGACCCTGACGCAGAGGTATTTTCTCTGGCCGGGTTTGAAGACACCGGTGAAAACACCGCCACGACAGGCTGCCTCAACATGGCCTACAGCCTTGTCCTTGTTCGACCAGTTGATGCCGCTGGTGAAGCACTTGCCAGAGACTCCATTGAGAGTGAAGGTGGATAGTACGATGAGTGAAGCAAAGTTGATGGGGAGTTGCATATTGGAAAGTTTGACTCGGACACTTTATCTTGAGAAAGGATTAAAAAGAAAGCTTGAAGCTGGTGAGGTAAAGAAACTGATTCCACGGTAGCCTAAAGGTTTATTTTATATTGGGTTATTCATTTACGAAACTGCTCTATAATAATGAAACCCCAAAGATGCAAATAGGTCCATGGCCATGCTGGCAGGACTTCAACAGGAGAGGAATCAATACGTCGTTCTAGACCTTCAGGTTGCTCCATCAACGAAGGGCAGGTAAGCTGATTGCATACGACTTTCTGACCTTTAGCCGTAAAGTACCGTCAGAAAAGCCTCGACCTTCCAATTCAGTACCATTCCGACAGCTGAAGATTTCTTCTGCCGAATTTCGCTTGGGTAATATTATCAAGAGCAAAGGCTTCATACATCTCTAATGACCTGAGTCCCGGTTAAATGAATGCACAGAGTTTAGTCCTTTGTTTAGGACGTGGCAAATCCAATATCTACATGTAGACTTTGAAGTGGCAACAGTCTGACTTGGTACAGATTCATGAGGAACGAAGAATTTTAATAGAAGCAAGTTGAAGTTCAACATTAAAGTAAGCTATTAGCTGCATAATTAACCAATTGAATATCAAGATCTGTCCAGACTTCAACTGCCGAAGAGAAGATGCCAAAGTCGTATTGTGCAGTGTCTCAAGGAAAATGGAAATGGCAGAATAGGTAAGGCCAAGCTGTGATGATACAAAATACAAACCCATTTCTAGACCAGGGTTCAGAGACGCAAATAGCTCTACGTTGTATTCGGGAAAAGCCAAGAACTCCGTGAAAGATCTACAGCCGTGTCGAAGTAGATCGCCAAAAGTTCCCAGTCAACCTAACCGCCTCGTTTCGGCAGCTGCTATACCATATCGGCCCACCGTCTCGTAGGTTAACGGCCCTTGAGCCGAGGTTCACTATTTCATGATCCCTGGAATTGCTTCGCTCTGTGATCCTTCGCCAAAGGCATCACCGAATCTTACTCAGGCATACGATGCTACCTACCTAAAGGGAGGATTCACCGGAAGATGAGTTCAGAACTGTGTACCAAGTCGAGAAATTGACTTGGGGACTTTTCAAATAAATACATGTTATACCTTCGACAAACCTTTTGAACCCAACTCAAGATAAACATTCTCAGGCCATCAGCACTCTCAACACCCAATCAACTTCGGATCATTTTCAAGTATGCATCTCACTACAACTCTCGCATCTTTCGTGCTTTTGGGCAGCTCTGCCATTTCTGGCGTTGAAGCTAAGTGCTTCGCCAGTGGCATTACATGGCCAGGCGGCCTGAATGTCTTCGTCGCGGACGTTGAGCGTGAATGTCGCCGCGGTGCGTTTACGGGCACGTTCCGTCCTGGCGAGGTCAAATACAAGTGCATCCAGTACGGAAGCGGTACCAAAATGGAGTACTCCATCACGAACAAAAACACTAGAGACTCCTTTGATCTTCAGGATGAGCATTGCATTGGTGGATTGAGTGATGAGATCCGAGGCTGCTCTCGGGGAGGTTCGTCCGAGAAGTCAGGATGGGTCTTCACGTAAGTCATTGTTATCCATTTAACCGCAGACATTTTGAAAGACGCGAGGACTGATGAATTATACGTAGCTCGGACCCGAATGAGGGCCGGTGTTAAAGAATTGCCACTTCGTCATTGAACCTTGAAGCTTGACCTTCTACACGCCTTTTCTAGACTTTGTGGATGCATACACTTCAGTGTCTCGGGGAGACATGAGGCAAAGGAATTTTATTAAGCCGAAGACTTGAGAACGGGCGTGAGAAACTTAGGATTTCAGGAAGAAATACCAGATGCTGGCCGCGAAGCTAGACCATTGAAGCTCAGTTTGCCAAAGTCACTTTCAAGACACTTTAGATAGATTAAATCACTTTGAATACATTCACTACTGCGATTCATGAGACTATTAACATGTTGATTTGTTCCTTGATGTTTCACGATAGGAGAGGACTGAGCGTAGTGACAGAGCAGGACAGGCCGATATGTGACCCAAAATCTGCTTATCGGTAGGGAACAGAAAGGAAGGCAAAGAAGATAAGATAAATGTTTATCAACACGAAACCCTAAACTCGAATCGGATGAGTTGAGTGAAGTTACCATGATGATAGTGAATTAACTGCGGGGGCCAATCGGCCATCTCTTAGAGATTCCTGTTTGGTGCAAGCGCCATAAGGGCAATTTGATAGTCTCTTTGATTGGGCGGAATTCCGTAGCACACATCAAGATGCTCCACTTCTTGAAACCGGGGCTTGACAGGATGGACGCCGGGAATGGATATATAAGGTAGACATGACATTCCGCTTCTCGAGACTTTATTCTTTTGTTCTCAATCACAACTAGAAATGGCGGTACTATCTCCTAGTCTTGTTGTTGGAGCAGCAGCGCTCATTTTTATCGGCCTTTTAATCGTTCGTCTGCGTTCACCTTTAGCTTCGCTCCCAGGACCTCGCCTAGGTCTTTTAACAGCTTGGCAATTAAGGTACCATGAGCTTCGTGGAAAGAGAACACAGTATGTTCATAAAATGCACCAGAGATACGGTAACGCAGTCCGTGTAGCCCCAAATGAGGTTGTCTTTTCGTCACTGGACGCGATGAAGGAGATATATCTGTCCAAAGGTAGTGGCTTTGATAAGACAAGTTTCTACAACCTCTTCTCCCAGTTCGGGCTCAGGTAAGACGACACTCAGTATCAATATGAAATATCGAACTGACCGAGGAAAGGACAATGTTCTCAACCCTGCAAAAAGGCCCAGTAAGTCTCGAATGCGATTGGGAACAAGAAAAACACTAAACAGCCCGTACAGCACAGCCAAAGACGACGAGTAACCGCCGACCGTTACGCAAACACTAACGTCAACCGTGAAGCCTCTCTACACGGTATACAAGAAAGATCACAAAATTTCATCGCTCGTTGCAAAGATGCTCCAAAGCAGGAGCTTGACGTTTACGTACGTCTTCGTGATTCTTTCTGGGCTTCGTGGCTAACGTGAAGTAGATATTCCTCCACTGCTATGCGTTCGACTGCGTTACGCATCACCTGTTCCATCCTCATGGAAGTGACTCGATTCTCCGGGCATCAGACGAAGAAACACTCCATGAGGCGGTCTTTGACAACAGTCTTGTTAGTAAGTATTATCGAGAACCCTGGAGGGTACGGTACTGACACAAATGACAACAGGACGACTCTTGAACTATTATCACCCGACTCTTGGTAGCGTTGCAGGCAAGCTGGGCTTGTTCGGAAAGTCGCGCGGTATTCCTAGATCCACAGAACTTGTGCTCAATGGTGTGAAAAAGGGCGGCGTTGCTGACTTTACACTGGTGAGTCGCATGCAAGAAGAGAAGTTCGGCATGGGCACTTTCGACATCGCTTCTGAATGTATGGACCACATGCTTGCTGGGATTGAAACCACTGGTGATGCGCTGTGCTTTCTGATGTGGCAGATTTCCCAGCCAGGCTATACCTTCATCCAGGAGCGCCTGAGAGATGAGTTTAGAGCCAACCCTGGTGTTCCTTCCGATCAACTTGAGTACCTCGAAGTAGTTGTCAAAGAGGGTCTCAGAGTCTTCCCTTCCATCCCTATGAGTTTACCAAGATGCGTTCCTGAAGGCGGCGCAACTGTTGATGGCCATTGGCTTCCTGGAGGTACTATCGTCAGCTGTCAGCCATACTCGATGCATCGGATGGATGAAGGAGTATTTCCTCGTCCAGATAGCTTTGAGCCGCAGAGATGGCTAGAGGAGAAAGGCTCCGCTGAGCGAAACCGACTGTTCTTTGCGTTCTCTAATGGAGGTCGTGCCTGCATCGGAAGGCAGTGAGTACACGAGCTCCCACTTGAGGATATTGGCTGACCTGCTGTCCAGTCTTGCTATCGTTGAGATGAAGACCCTTTTGCGTGACATCTATTCGCAGTATAGAACAGCGCCTGCAGATGGCCTGACTTTTGACATGAGCATGGACGACCAGATTTTTACATCTCGTCCGAAAGGCCAGAAGTGCATTTTGAGGTTTATCGGATGGGATTGAGTTCGCAAGTCATAAATGCCGGAAGAAATGCCGTCGACCTTTGACAGCTAGATTTGTCATTTCCGGTTGAGAATTTAAACTAGCAGAGACAACTTAGTCGAACTTTGACGTAGTGCCAGGGACAAAGGCAGCATTATTAGGCTCAATTAAATACCAATTCATTTTTTCAGCGACAGATGTGAAGGCTTTGCTGTGAACTTGGAGATATGATGCATTTGTCGATGCTGTATTGACACGGATAGTTGACGTAGAATGCTTTAGAGAACTCGTGAGTGGAAAACAACAAACAGGTCTCAATTAGGGGGGTCTAATCTTGTTCTGGCGTTAGTGTAACCCTGCGGGGACTTGCACCCGAAGCCCAGCTCACTGGAACCACTCGCCAAACCCTCACCAACTCATCCCAGTCCACGGACATAGCAATGAGCACTCCAGCTCCAGAAACTCCGAAATCGTTACCAAGGCAAGCCAGGTCCCGAGGGGGATGCGTGAGATGTCGCCGCCGACGGCAAAAGTGTGACGAGAGCAAGCCCTCTTGCGATAGATGCGTCGAGGCTGGAAGCATCTGCAAATACGAGGTCACGCTGAGTTGGGGCGGAAGATCATTCGCCAAGTCCACCTTCGGAAAGTGTCTCCATGATATCAAAAGAACGGGTATGTTCAATAGACGAGAGACTCGGGTGAGCGCTTACTTATGCTGGTTCAGACAACACCACGACAGGCAATGGCTTTGTCTACAGCACGACCCATGCCCAGTCGCCTCAGCCCAGCGCATCGCGGAGGACCACAGCGACGCGGCCAGATGCCAACCATGGAAGAACACTCCAGCACTTGAAAGAAAGCCATGTGCCGGAATACCCACCGAATACACAGGATGGGAATGTCACCACCACCAATGCCTCATCGATGCTGAGAAGCGATTGCATTCCTCGGGTTTCTTTGGGGGCCGAGTCACCAGATACTCCGACTAGCCCGCTGCACGACTTACAGGCATCCATTCCGCGACCGCAACATCAGATATCATTCCTTCCGCCCATGGCTCAATACCTCTTCCAATTCTACCTCTCCAAAACGATGAGACTTACAGTCCCCAGCAGCTATGCTAAGACAGAGATTTGCCGATTCCTCGTCCCGATGTCGCTCCAGGAGCCCAGCTTACTCTACGCCGTAATGGCGTTCGCTGCTGTTCATCTCAATGCCATTGGTATGCTGCCCGGAAACTCCCAACGACTTATCGATAGTCTCCATTGGGCGAGCATCAACCATCTTCGAAGGTTGCTGGAAGCTACCGACTCTACGTCACAAACGGTGGCGTTGGCTACCACCAGAACACTATGCCAGGCTCAGATCTACGGTGGAACATCATTATGGCGCATCCACCTCGATGGGGCACGCGCTATACTTCAGACAGCTCAGAAAGGCAAACAAGTGATGGGCAGGTCTCATGTGCCTATGAACACAGGGTTTCTGGATAGTTGGTTCCATAATGCGGAAGGACTAGCTTCCTTGAGCCCTGCTGGGCTGCTCGGCGGTCAGCTTCTTGTCCACGGCCAGACTGACTCTGGGGCGTTTCTAGATATCTACGGTGGTGTCATGTCTGATCTTCCTGCATTATTCAAAGAAGTCGGAACTCTCCTGGGAAAGAAACACACACGCACCCCTGAGCTCGAACTCGAAACGGATAATCTTGTTCAACAGATCCTTACAAGGATTTCTCGTGATAAAGCCGAAAATATGATAATCCCATCAGATATGCTCTCGTTTCTCTCCGCGAACGATATCCAAAACTACGCACTCAGCAACGCCGGGTTTCTCTATATGGCACTATTACACTTGCACTGTGGTATGAGATCTCTGCCGCCTTTCGCTATAGAAGTCCGCTTTTGCGTTGCTCAAATCATTCAATGCGCTCATAGAATGTCTCGCGAGTCCGGATTGTCGCCGAGAGTACTCTTAGTCTCACCTTTGTTCACTGCTGGACTTTATGCTATTGGGCCTGCGCGAGATGAGATCAGGCTCGAGCTTGCAGACATTGGGAGATGGATGAAGACTCCTCATCTTTTCAAGACATTAGAGCTATTGGAAAGAGTTTGGTTTCAGCACCCCGATGACTCAACGCGCACTTGGGAGACGATTGAAGATATCACCGTCGACTTTCTTCCTTACTAGCTCTAAACTACTCGAAGAAAGCTTCAAAGCTTCTTCGACCGGTAAGGGGATGAAAGAGGCATTCTAGCCGGTGGAAAGAACAGACCAGCTCATTACATGGTTGTTACTAAGCTCTCTCAGTTTCAACGACGTTGAGCTCAACGCTCAACTTTCCAACTGTCTCTCCGACACCTGTTTCCTGCACTTTGTAACCTCGAAACTTTCTGGCTGGCAGCTTGTCGTTGAACTACATAGAGCGGTGAGTGATTTTGCCTTGGCTTTCGGTTCGATCTTGGGCTACTTACCATAGCATCGATTTCTTCCAAAGTTCGTCCCTTCACTTCAGGCAGGAAGAAGTACACCCAAACAGCACTAACGATGCACGAAGGGAACCAAATATAGCCATATCTTGGTCCCCAGTTCAACGCCACGGGGTTAATGAAGTACGGAGCGGTGAACGTGATCAGCCAAGCGCCGAAGAATCCAGCTGCTGCAGCAAGGCCGAAGGTGTAGCTTCGAAGGCGTTGTGATGGGACTTCGCCGGCAACGAGCCATGAATATGGAGCAATCATGCCCTGAAAAAGAACATCAGCAACAATGTCTTCACATAGGCAATGGATACTCACATTGAAAGCCATCATGTAGAAGCATGATAGCGCAACCAGTACCTTGCCGGTAACAATTGCCCCCGGGTTATGATCGTAAACGACCGCGATGATCAATTGGAAGAAGCCAGCCGTTATGAGGCCACAAAGGAGGAGTACTCGTCGTCTTCCATACCGTACAACGATGCAAACATTGGCGATGATAGCAATCATACCTGCCATGCTGAGAACGTTGCTCATGGCAAATGGGTCTTGAACCTTAGCCATGGCGAAGAAGTAAGCCTTGTACGCTGCGTAAAGGTCAGTTCTATATCCCTTGGACGAAAACGGGGATAGTTACCAATGATGAACATTGATCCAGTGGCAGCTTGGAGGCAAACAGCACATATGGAGATCATGGTTCGCCTTCTGTCGATTGGGTTGTTGAACATATCCAGGATACCGACACCTTTGGACAATGCACGCTCGTTATCAATAGCTTGGCGAATATCTGCAAGCTCCGCTTCGGTATCTGCGCCCTCTGGCCTGAGCCACTTGAGTGACTTGAGGCCATCTTCGTAGCGTCCTTGAAGAACAAGCCATCTTGGTGACTCTGGAATGAACGGCAAGCCAACGAATATGATAGTTGGGACTATATATATCATTCCGAGAGGGATGAGATATGCAGAGCGATCGGGGCGTTTCGCTGTTGCCCAGTCAATTATGGTACCGATGAGTGTACCCTACAAACCACGTGTCAGTATCGATATACTCTTCATACTGTCAGATGGGAGTACTGACAAAGGTTGTGCACAGATGGAACACGGTCAAGAACAAACCACGATACTTTGCCGGGCTACTTTCTTGGATGTAGAGTTGGGAGAAGGTCATGAAGTAGCCGTTGGCCAACCCGATAAGAAGTCGACCGACGTACAGCGGCCCAATATGGGTAGTGGTCATCATGATGACGTTCGACACTGCGCAAAGAATGCAAGCCATCCAAAGACACATTTTCCTTCCAAGCTTTGCGGCAACGAACCCCGCGAGGCTGGAGCTGATGAAGGCGCCCATCGTCATTAGGGACGAGATAAGCTGCTGTCGGGTGGTGTCGATGTTCCACCCGATTGCGACTTCGGGATCTCGGTAGCCATAGATCTGAGGGAACGCGATGGTCAGTACAAAAGTTGCATGCGTGTCAAAGAGCGGAGAGTGCAGATACCTACCTTGAGAAAGCCAGGCATGGCTTGTAGTCCACCGATCAACCCAAAGTCAAGGCCATACTGGAATGGAGAGAGAACAATTATTCCGCATGCCACGAAACATCGCCAATGGGCACGGATAGTATCATGTGATGGGTCTGCCATGATGAAGAGCCAGACGGGGTGAGGATGATGAGGTGAAACGAGCACTCAACCGCGTTGGACATCATGTTTCTGCGGCTACCGTTCCCTTTCATACTGGAACTCAACTGGAGAGACTTGGCCAATCGCCTCGCAATCGTTCATCCAGACACAAAAACATCGAAACCTCTTATCACTAGCTGTATTCATGAGGGTTGGCGCTCAACCGAAGTGCGGGGTGCATAATAGGTTCCACTTAGAGTTGCAGATCAAGTCAGAGTTGCACCCAGGTCGCCAGCCTGAAAATGTGGAATGGGTGTTGTTGCTTTGGGTTATCGGGGTGTTTCTTCCGAGAGTCGCCCTCTCGTCTTGAGTTCGGCGGTATGGATCCGATGGGATGAGTTGGCAAACTTAACCCAAAGCTACCGAGTTATGAACTAGAACTGCCCTTGCATCAACCTTATCCAACAAGATGTGAAGTCTAATGGAATTGCCAAGTACTTCCCCGCAATCTGAGAGTCATGCTGAAGTTTTAGTCTCGTCTTGCATGAGTTTTCAGCTTGAGTTGGGAGTCATCGCAACTGGCTGTGCTGCTAATTCCCGAGCCAAATGCCGGGACCAGGGTAACATCCCCCCCCTCATCATCCAGACTGACATTTGATAGCCACGACATTGCCTGACAAAGCTATGACAAGTTAGTCACGTTGCGAAACTCTTCCGCAGCCCGCAGGACGTGTGTTGCTTTGCATAGCTCTCTGCCAATGGGACCACGAACCTGGCTGCTAGCGTATGGATATCCGACAGAGGTTTAGCACGTTGCGTGATATCCAATTTGCTCTCGCTATGAGGTAAATACGATCCTGTGATATGGGTATCGGATTGGCTATTACGAATCGAGGATGTAACGTGTCTCGCAAAAGACAATGGTAAC